ATGCTTATGGTGATGCTGATGATGGTGATGGTGGTGGTGACGATGCTGATGATGAGGTGTATGTCAAGGATGATGACGATGCCGATGACGACGACGATGACGACGACTATGGTGATGACAAGGATGCTGCTTCTGCTGCCGATTATGATGATGACGGTGGTGGTGATGGTGATGGTGATGGTGGTGCTGATGGTGATGGTGATGCTGAGTGCGGTCGTGCTGCTGATGACAAGGAGGAGGAGGAGGCGGAAGAGGACGGTCGTCATATGTGTCACCTGTCATCTTCACTTCTTGAGACGCTCTCACAGCGATCATTTGGGCCATCTTTGGTTCTTGTGGGGCACCATAGGGCGTTACTCTGGCCACATTGGGCGTCCGTTGCGCCCTCTTGGGGCCGTCTTGGAGCTCTTATGCCGTCTGGGGGTCTCTTGCGGCCGTCTTGGGGGCCGTCGAGCGGCTCTCTGAGGCCGTCTTGGGTCCTCCTGGCGGCCCTCTTGGGCCAGCCTGGGACTCTTCTTGGGGCCGTCCTGGTTTGTCAAGGGACCCTCTTGGGCTGTCTTGAGGCCGTCTTTGAGGATTATTGGGTCCTTTGGGTGTCGCGTTGGCCGCATTGGGGCCATCCTGGAGTACTCCAGGGCCATCTGAGGCTGGAAGAGGCTTGCAAAGGTAGATGTGTGATTTTGGCATCGTCGGGCCCTACAGTCAACGCCCCTAGTAAGGACGCGTGCCTTCATCTAGGGTGCCCTTGTGTCCTTGCCTCTGCGGCCCATCCTTTGCCGTCTTCACTGGTCGCCCGCCGCCCTCAAAAACCCAACTTCTGCCTCCAAGGGTCTTTCGTCCTTACCACCCGTGCTTGTGATCGTTCTGATTTTTTCATTGTTTTGCCGATCGGCGCGGTCCCCCAACCCCCCCATCCCCCCCCCCCATGGAGTAGATCTTGTCTGTTTTGGGCGCCTATTTCGAGTAGGTGGAGTCTCCCCCATAGGACGCACTGCTGCCAACAGTCGCATTGAGCAGAGGTCCGGAGCCAGACGCCCCCCTCCCCCCTCCCCTTCCGCCCAATGTCGAAACGCCGAATAAAAAAAAGCGCTCACCTTACTACACGTTTTGACTGTTAGGGGGTCCCTTTGTGGCCCTCTTGAGGGTCCTGTCTGGGAGGGCCAGCGTGCTGCCGGCGCGCTGCCTCCCTTCGTGGGCGCGCCAGTCCCTCTCGGCGGCGGCAGTTTCGTTCGTTCGTTTGTCGCCCGCTTAGGCGTCCTTGGGAGCCTATTGTCGGGTATACAGTCAACCCGCACAGCAAGGATGGGCAACCTTCCCAAGGGTACCCTTGCATCCTTGCCTCCTCGGTCCATCCTTGGCCAGCTTCGTTGGCCGCGTTGTGCTCGGAAAGCTGCGAAATGGTCCTCCAAGGCCCTTGCATCCTTATCCCGCATCTTTACTACACGGGTTGACCGTAGCCGGGACCCTAGGTAAGGGGACCCGGTTAGTAGTAGAGTTCCGGAGCCCTTCAATTTGCCAGGATCACTAAAAACCAGGTCTGCCGCAGCTGGTGTTTTTCGGGTGGCGGCGGTTCCGGCGAGTGGAACGGGGCGGGGGGGGCGTCCCCCAGTGTGCGTCACTAAACCAGGTCTCACTAAACCCAGTTCTGCCAACGCTCGATATTCGGCCGTCGTGCGGCCAGCTTGAGCCGTCTTGGAGCCATCTTGGGCCGCCTTGGGGGCATCCTGTTGCATCCTGACCGCCTTGGCTGCACGCCTCGGCAGTCCTGGGAGCTCTGGAGCACGGCTCCCTGCGTCTGTTCCCCCCATCCTCCCGTTGGCTCGGTCATCTTTCTGAATCCGCAGCGCCGCGAGTCTCCTCTCCTCCTCTCCTCTCCTCTCATCATCACTCTCCTCCTCATCCTCCTCTGCGCCCGTTTTCGGCGCATCCCTCACGAGGGTCGTGACCCCACAGGGAGCTCGACTGAAGGCCTGAGCGGCAGAGTCCGCATGGCGTCCCCCCGCGCATTTCGGCACACACCTCACGAGGGTCGTGGCCTCACAGGGAGCTCCACCGAAGGCCTCAGCGGCAAAGTCCGCATGACGTCCCCCCGCCCATTTTGGCGCATCTTTCACGAGGATCGTGGCCCCACAGGGAGCTCCACCGAAGGCCTTAGCGGCAAAGTCCGCATGGCGCCCCCCCCGCGCAGTTTGGCATACCACTCACGAGGATAGTAGCCTCACAGGGAGCTCCACAGAAGGCCTTCGCGGCAAGGCCGGCATGGCCCCCACCCAACTCCACGCATTTCGGCGCACCCCTGACTGATTGCGGATCGAGGCATGAGAATGCGTCTTGAATGGAGAACGTTGAGTGTGGTTTCACATTCTTGGCGAATGGTTTTGGGGTACCGCAGGCCTTCGCTGCATTCTTGTGTGTGTGTGTGTTGATCGGTCCTGTTCGTAGTCGCCTCGTTTTGAGAATGGGTTGGGCTTTTTGCCAGGCTAATTCACGGACGGTGCCTCAGGGCCCACAATTCTTCACCAGTGGCCACGGCCCCGGGCCCACAGATTTTTCCACAAGTCATCATGGTCTCGGGAGCGTGGGACCACTGTTTTTCACGGGGGGCTGAGGCTCCGGGGGCCCGTTCTGTGGTTTAAGAGTGAAGGGGGGGTGCATGCAGCTGGGCGTGATGACGGGGTGAGAGGGGCTTTCATCGAAGAAGGAAAAAGGCATAACCATGAACTTTTGGCGCTCCGCGCGGATTGACCGGATCGGCGTTGGGACGCCCCTGCCGGCGCATCCGGCGCCACCCCTGACGCGCTCCGCGCACAAGGGAGGGGGATCCGGCTCAGATCCAAGAAATCCGCTTGGACCGGCAACAGTTGAAGTTTAGGCCGTTGTGTGCTCCTCTCGGAAACCCTAGATGCATCACTGATAGTAAGAATGAGCGACTTCCCAAGGTTTCCCATGCGTCCTTTTCCTTCGGCCCATCCTTGGCCACTTCCGTTTGCCGCGCCCAGTTTGAGAAGTGTCGGCATCGCTTTCCAAGGCCCTTGCATCCTGATCTCGCCAAGCGAGGTCAGTTCCTCGCAAAAAGTGCCTACTCGCAGACGTTCGAAAAACGCATGTTTGCCTCGACGTAGTAGATCGTGAATTTCCCGCGGAGTGTCCAGGCCATTTGCGCGTAGCTATTTTGAGTAGTGGAACGCGCATGTCTATGATTGTGCGTCCTCACTACAGTCACTCGGAGATTGATAGACCTCCTACCCTGACACGTCGATTAGCGAATTGGCCGTTTTCGGCTTGCGAGAGGGCGTCGCGGCCGTCATTTTTGCGGGTCCAGGTCCGTCGGTTTCGGTCTTAGGTCGTTTTCACTAGAGGGAGGTTTACTAAAGGGAGGTTTGTCCACCGCAGAACAATGCCTTCCCTCTGGTAGCACGATGACTGTATCGTTCATCCCTACTACAAGTTTTGACTGTACCAGAGAGTCCTTGGCATTCTGCTAGGTCGGGCAGGTCGGGCATGTCCTTCTACAGGAAGAAAGTTCAAGAATAGTCAAAGTAGTCAGGGGGCGATGCTTCTTTTATTGTTTGACCATTGCTGAGTATTTGTTTGACCCGCCTTACGCCGACATGCCCGACCTAACTCTTGACGTCTGGGGAGGAGGGAGGAGGATGGAGAGGTCGAGGAGGAGGAGGAGATGGAGGATCGTCTCTGCCCCCCCTTCTTCTCCCGTCTCGAGGTAATCATGGACCCTCTCTCTCTCTCTTTCTCTCCTCTCCTCGTGTCTATTTGTCCTGGTACCTTCCTCCATCTACCTCATCGGCAGGCGATTCCTCGAGCGAGGGCTCCAGGAGTCGCCTGGCTTCTAGTTTGATCAACCCCCCAAGCGCCGACCAGCCCTGGTGGGAGAGGGCTGCGTCCGGAGAACTCACATGCGTTCAGGAATCGGGAACCAGGAGGAGGAGGAGGAGGAGGAGGAGGAGGAGGAGGAGGTGGAGGATGGAGAGGAGGATTGCAGGGGATTTCTCTCCCCCCAATCACCGAGTTCCGCCCGAAAAGTCTGGCCGCTCAGAAAGAGGGGTGCGTCCAAAGGGGGCTACTCGGACGCACCCCTATAGGATGTGCGCCCTCCCTCCGCACATCCCGAGGCCGGGGCCCCACATGTCTGGTCCGTTCGAAAGCCCTACGGATTCTGGGGTAGGGGTCGACACATCCCGTGTTCGGGGAGGAGGAGGACGACGACGAGGAGGAGGAGGATGAGGAGGAAGAAGAAGAGGACAATGGAGGACCCCGCAACAACAGTGCCGAGATGTCGCCGGGCCTGCCTCGCAGGGGAGCCGGCCCGTGAACCAAGCTTTCTGCTGGGGGGCGCGGCGCACCGGCCCTCGAGCAGTGGCGAAGCTTCCTGGTTCGCCTACAGTCCCACCAGAGAGTGTTCTGAGAACCTTGTTTTGGTCTGCACGAGATGTCCTCAGAACACTTCTGGCTGGGGCTGCCTTGTTTTGACACCGGTCCTATGTTCTGAGAACCTTGTTCTTGTTCGTCGAACGCGTTTGGGGGTTCTAAGGACATTTCGTGGCGGCCCTATGGGAATGCCAGGATGGTCGGTCCCTGCTCAATCCTCTCGCCATCTCTCTCTCTCTCTCTCGTTCTCTCTTGTGCGGCCCAGGCTCTGCACAGTTTCCGATGCTCGAGAAAGAAGAGTGCATAAACATAAACTTCTGGCGCTCCGAACGGATTTCCTAGATCCCCCTGGCTGCGCCTTTGGCGCCACCCCTTGCGCGCTCCGCGCGCCAGGGAGGGGAGTCCAGTGCAGATCCAAGAAATCTGCGCGGACCTCCGAAAGTCTTTGTTCATATGTTTCCCTCCTCTAGAAGTGGATCCTTGGCGAGTTTGGAAAGTTGGGAAATCAGGAGGAGCAGAAGGAGGAGGGGGATGCCAGAGATGATGAGGAGGAGCAGGTGGAGGAGGAGGAGGAGGAGGAGAAGAAGGAGGAGGAGGAACAGTCTCCCGAGAAGGCATTAGATCTCCTCAACCGGGCGCTCGCTATCAAGCAGAGGGACTACGGCGGGGATCACCCGCAGGCCGCATTCCTTGCGTGGCCGTCGCTGCTTTGCCGTGCCGTGCCCTTCGATTTCGCGGCGGAGAGCGGAACGGCAGCTCGTGCGGCCAGTATCGGTCATTCGGCGGCGAGCGAGGGGGAGAAGTGATCATTATTATCATCAGCATCGGCACCCGCACCAGCACCATCATAATCATCATCATCATCATCATCATCATCATCATCATCATCATCATCATCATCATCATCATCATCATCATCATCATCATCATCATCATTATCATTATCATTATCATTATCGTCATCGTCATCGTCATCGTCATCATCATCACCATCCTCATCACCATCACCATCATCATCACCATCACCACCATCATCATCATCATCATCATCATCATCATCATCACCATCACAACCATCATCATCATCAGCATCAGCAGCAGCATCAGCATCCGCATCATCAGCAGCATCAGCATCTCTATCAACATCATAATAATCATCAGCATCATTATCCTCATCCACATCACTACCATCATCACCATCATTTGCATCATCAGCAGCAGCCCTAGCCATTTTGGCTCAAGAGGCCTGCTCCTGAAATTCCCAACCTATCTCGAGGCGCCCTGTGGCCAGGCACCAAGGGCGGGCCGCGGCCGCGCCCCCTGGCCCACGGCAGCCGCACCTCTCTTGCTCCTGCCCTGCAGAATGCGATCTCTTGGGCAGGGAAGCCCCATACTCCTACCAGTCTTGTGGAGATCGCAGGGAGCGAGGGCCGCTCTGACTGCCCGAAACCAGTTTTTTCACGGTTGACGCGAGCATGCAGGCCGCACTGGAATACTAGATCCATCATCTCCCATGCAGCGTGGACTCTCTCACCCTGCAGTTGGGTCGTGGTACCATTCAGACCAGCAGAAGTCGGGAATCCCGTGCCGGATGTTTCACGAGAGTATTTTTCAGAGTTAGCAGACCAGGCATGCAGATCTCGCGAAGCAGAGCATGTATAAGTTTGCAATATTTCGCGCTATCCAGGAACATGCCTTCTCGCGGGCCGTTCAGGGTCGCAAGCTTTCTGAGAGGGGGATGAGGGAAGATGTGGGTGTCATTGATACGACGATGAAGGGGGAGCTAGCGGCGTCGAGGGAAGCACAGATCGGAGGCACCCGCGCCCGTGTTGCTGGAACGGCAACCCCCAACATTGGTCAGCCGGCAGGTTTGGCGTCGCATCGAGCGAGGTGACGCCGGCAACCCTTCGCATCAGCTGGCCCTGGGATTTCGTCGCCCACTTATGGAAGTTCATCTTCGTCGGGCTATTTCCTCGATCGTGGGCGACTGCGCGTTGGAGAGTGACGTCCCGAGCATCAAGATTAAGGCATTCAGTTGTATTGTGGAGGTATTCGTTGGTTTCCCGAGAACTCTGATGGCTTCTGCCACTTTCCACGCGAAGTGCATGTCTGAACTTGAGCTTCGCTCCCGCCGTGGCCCCCCGCAGACGCGTCGCAAGTTTTCTGCCATCTCGGGGATGCGAGGCAGGCAGGCAGCGGCGCGTGTCCTCGGGCAAGAACGCGTCGGTAGCATGGGGCTCGGGGGAACGAGCTATGTGGCCGAGGGTGTCATCCCTGTTCCTGTCGCGAATATTTCCATTGTCGATAGCGGCCCGTCGGCTGGCCGTGCGAAGAATGATGGTGGGCGAAGCAGGTGTGGTCGAGATTGAGGGGGAAGCGCGCGCGCCTTGCATGCGCGCCCGCCTCTCGGAGATTCGCCCCCTTTCGGCGAGCGCAGCAGCTGTCTGGGAGGAAGGGGGCTCGACGGGGGCATGTCTGAGGGTTCTGCGTCCGTGAGTTCAAGTGGCCCACCCATGTCTTGAGATCCGCGACAGTTGTATTTCAGTTGGCGCGGCGTCGCAAGTCCCCCCCCCCCGCTGGCTGGGATTGTCGGCGGGGCCCGTGGCCCCTCGGCCCCGGTCCTTTCTGCTTCCATCCCGCGCGGAACGCCCGCGCTCTTTTTGCTTCCATCCCTTTCCCTTCCATCAGAGCGAGCTCGAGATATCAGCGGGCAAAGGGGTTGCTGGAGAGGCATTGGATTGCACGTTTCCAGGGGGCGCGTGGCTCCAGGGGGCAGAGTTGGCAGCGCTCGCTGACGAGATGCGCGCAGGCGCATCATGTGGAAGTTCGATGGGGGATACAGCAGCTGGGGACGTTGTCGCACTGTTCGCCGAGTCTGTCGTTGCCTTGCGGGGGGGAGTGATCGTGCACGGGTGCTCGGGGCCTGGGGGGGGGGGGGGGGGGCTTGCGACTGCGTGCGCTCATGCGCGTGATCATATCGGCGTGTACAAGGTGCAGAAGATCCTGGATGCGCCACTCCCTGCAGCTCGCAGTTTATGGCGGCTAGTTTTTGGTATCTTGTCCCGATGGAAAATGCGGGGCTTCTTGCGGGTGTCGAGTTCGGCCCAAGGGATAGGTTGCGGCCCGGCGCATTTGTCGAACGCGTAGCTCCCGTGCGCAGCCTGGCCCCGCGCGCGGAGACATAGTGGGCGGTGGGGTCCGCGGCTTCTCGCGACGCGACAGAGTCTATGCCGCCCTCCCATCGGGCATTGCGTTTGAGTTGTCATCTCCTGCTGGCGCCGCAGGGGCCCTGACAGGTCGGGCCATGTCCACGCGGCGGCGGCATTCGCGAGCGCCAGACCTGCGGGCCCCTCCTCGGCGGCGGCAAAGTCCGCATGCGGTATGCAGGGGGGGCGGTCACGGAACAGCTAGGGGGCTGCCTTTTCCAGATGACCTCTTGGAGCGCATTCGGAGGGCGAGAACTCTTTTCGGGCCGGTGGCAGCTCGACGAGCATCGCCGCGATGCTCTCTTTCTGTTCTTCGGCGTTGACCGCGGCGTCTGCGCTGACCGCGGCGACCCGCGCAAGCCTGCCGTTGCTGCGAATGATGGATTGTTTGAGGATCTGGACGAGGCAGGCGGATCAGGGCAGGGGGCCCGATGGAGTTTGCGAGCAAGGTGAAGACACGGCAGCTGGCACTGCTGCGAGGGCGGGCCCTTTTGGGGCGTCGGATCGGAAGGGGGGGGCGCTGGGCGAGCGTGGCCCACGTTGCCCGAACCCTGGCGACGCGGCCCGCGCGGTGGCTTCCCGCTGGGGAAGCGCGTTTGCCCATGCCCCGCACGATGAACAGCTTTGGCAAGCGATCTTGCCCTGCGCGCAGTCGGTTGGCCAGCTGCCTCGCGAGCCCCCGTCGGCGCCTTGATCGGGGCGAGTTTGAGAAAACCAAGTGTTTCAAGTGGAATTCTGCTCCTGGGCCCGATGATGCCTCATGGGCGCTGGTCGGTCCCTGGGGCTTCCGATGTTCTGTTTTGCGTGCGCGAGGCTGTTTGCGACAGCGTGGGCGCCGCGCTCCCCGGTTGACCGGCGGGGTCGCGTTTCTCTACCGGAGGGGCGGGCGGCGGGCGGTGGTGGTGGGGGGGGGGGGCATGCCGCGCTGTTGTTGTCTAAGGGCTGTTTGGATGTACCCAGCCCGTCGGACTCGCGCCGCGTCGGGCTGAGTGCAGCAGCGCCTCCGGCGGTCGCGGGGCAGCAGCGCGGGGGCGCAAGAGGCCAAATGCGTCTTGGACAATGTGGCCGATGCGGAGAAATGGAGGGCCCATTCAGTTTATGCGCGGGCTGGATAACGCAGGCGTCTTATGCGTTGATTTTCGGGCGGCGTTCCCGCCGATTCTCTCGGCGTGGATATTCCGGGTTCCCCGGGGCGCGGGCAGCCCGCAGACCGTTGGTGGGTTTATTTTGATTGATACATGAACAACATTGCGCCGGTTATTCCGCGGGGGCTGGCGAGGTTCGGCCCCCCAGCGCAAGGCAGGGGGGTCCGTCGTCGATGGCTCTCTCCCCCCCTTGGCGACGGGCCCAGTCCTGCGATGGATCGAGTACCTGCGCGCGCCCAGGCTTGGCCTGGAACTTGCGCGCGCAGAGGACTGCTGCTTCGGGCTGCAGAAAGTCCCCTTTGACCCAGTGCCTGCGCTTCATTTGTTGGACCAGCTCTCTTCTGCCATCGGTCTTTCGTTGGGCGTCGGCAGGGGCTGCGCGCTCGCCTGCGGGGCGCTGTCTGGCGCGCGCCACCTCGAGCGCGCGGGCGGGAACGGGAGTCGACGTCGCGCAGTCAAATTCGACGCGCGCGCGATGCCTCGGGCGCTGGGTTCGACCGGCGGCTTTCGCAGCGGCGCGGCCGGAAGTCCTGGTGAAGTTATGACAGAGGGCGCGGCATCTTGGGCATCTCTTTTCGGGGCTGCCTGCTGCCACTCGGTCGCGCCACTCGAACGGCGCGCCGGTCTTGCAGCGCAGGCTCCAACAAGTTCGCGTCGCTCCAGAGGGGGCTGGGCAATGTTGGGAGGCTGCGCAGATATCTACGACGGGGCCAAGACACGCGCTATATCATTGCATGGTCGCCCAGCTTCGTGGCCTGGTGATGTCATTTGAGTTTGTTAACCTGAGACTGCTGTCGGGCGCTACTATGCATAGTGTATAGGCCAATCTTATGGCGACTGATATGGCTTTGCATGATCTAGAGATGTTAATGATTAGTCTTGGCGCGTATAACGACGATGTTAGTCGTGGCCGGCAACTTTCTCACTGATGGTAGACGCGCCATGGGGGATGCTGCCGAGGTGCCCTGGCCCAACAGTAAGCAAATGGGTGGGCAGATCCAGTGCGGGGTGCATAATCATCTCCGAGGGCCCCCAGGACCGATGACCCCGTTGTCCCGCCTGCAGGTTTGCATCGGGCGCTTGCTCATGGAAGTCGAGATGCCTGTCGTATTTCGCGTTAGGCCGCGGCTCTCAACAAGGCAACGCGCGCCCACCTTCAAAGTGGTATTCTCGGGATTCTATATAGGGGGGCTTGCGCTTCGGCCACGTTTCATCGCGGGGGCCGCGGGCGCGGCGCGGCTTCCGCCGCGGGGGGCGGGGGGGGGGCGACGGCCTTCGCCGTGCCTGGACGATGGAGGGGGCTTCTGTTCGACGACGAGTCTTGGCCCT